TTTGGTAAATTTCAAAACAATAATCTTAGTCGCTACATAGTTCGTTACACGAAAGATCATTGTCCGAGCAATCAATCAAATCGTCGTCTGATTCGTCGTCAGAATCCTCACCCAAGTTAATTACTATTTGATCAAAAACGACATCGAATTGTGGTTCTCTTGTCACAAAATTATCCTCAATCGAAAAAATTTTATCAAACTTTTTTCCATTCTTCTGCAGAAAATTTGTCAAAAAACTCATCGCATAATTCGGTGACGTCATTTAATTTAAAACTAACATTTTTTGATCCAACAAAATTTTTCAGTGCAGCCCATACCAGTTCAATTGGATTTAGATCCGGATGATAAGGAGGCAGTCTTAATACCTCATGTCCAAAACTTCTAATCACAGAATCAATGGAATATTTAACAAATCGAGTCTTATGTAATCTAATTAATTCGTAGAGATCTGTCCGAAGCATATCCTCGGTGTACGGTATGTTTCTTTCTCTAAGCCACATTTGCATATCGGCTTTTCGAAATGCCGAAGTTGGAATTTTATCCTCCCGTTTGTTATGGTACGCCGCATTATCCAACACAATAACGGTTGGAAGGTAAATTTAGCAATAGTTTTTCCGTAAGCCACTTTTGACAGTTTTCGTAATTCATATCGTCGTGGTAGTCTCCAGTTTTAGATTTTGATTTCCATCTCAGATACGAATCCTTGACGAATCCATCCTCAGTTCCAGCAGCAACAATTATTGCGGAACTGTTATCACCCCAATTATATTCGTTTACATAATCGGAGTGCAAGTATGTTTCATCCGTAAAAACAATTGTAGGCTTTTCGCTGCGAAATTTTTTAATTTTTCTTAGGTAATCTAGCCTTAATTTCCGTAATTCATGTTTGTCCATTATGTCGATTATTTTTTGTTTTTCTCCAACGAAATCCTAAATTATGAATCTCTTTTCGAAGAGTTTCTCTGCTTCTGGTGTACTGCAATTCTTCCACAAGTTTTTGATGCAATCTTTTAATTGTCGGCAGCATTTTCTCCTGAATATGGAAGTTTATTCTAAATCGACGTAACAAGCCTTCGTCAGCTGCATCCATTTTTAGTTTAAAAGCTCTGTGCTTTTTTGTAGACGGAGAATTGAACAGATTTCTGCTCGTGCAAGCTTGATCTGTTACCCGACCTTCCCTAACTATTCGTTGAACTGATCTTAAGCTTATGCCCGAAAGAAAGCAAAGCAATTTTTTATTGGACCAGGAAAAAGCTGAACAAATATATTCCGTTTATTTTAGTTTTTATAAAAGTAAAATTTTTGTTGTTTAACTATATAACTTGTGACAACTAAAAGGAAAAAAATTCTCTATACAGCAAGTTTTAAAAAATTTATACTTTATGGAAGGCATATTTGTAATATAAGATCACGGTACTTTTATATATTAGTTACAGGAAATACTCCGACGAATATCAGGGAGAAGTCTGTTGGATAGGGAGAGAAGCGAAAACATAAGAAGAGCATGCAATATAGAAGACATAAATGGATGGGCGACAAAACGAAAACAGGAGTGGAACGAACACATCAGTAGAATGTTAGAGGATAGAATAGTACGAATAGCACGAGATAAGTCACCAAATGGATAAAGAAGTATTTGCAGACCAAGAAAAAGAAAGACAATTTAAACAATTTAGGATGCTAATATTGAAGAAGAAACAGGCGTTAAAGCCTACATACTAGAAGAAAGAAGAAACAGAAGAAGAAGTTACAGTTATCCATAAAAAGGAACATTTTAAAAGCCATATACAGAATATCATTGTAACACGTACCTAGTATCACAAATGAATTGTTGAGAATACCTAATAGTCTAGACGGGATCTGTTTTGGATTGGAAATTTTGCATAGGAAGCTATTTTTTTGCTGGAATCCCTTCAGGATGGGCCCAATATCAATAATCACGATATGCGCCAGTCGCAAACCCTGTGCTAATTTTTTTATTTAACAAAATCTAAAAAAAAAAAAATGAAAATTTCTCATTTTTGTGCTCCTATTTTCGTTTATAATTCGGAAAATATTGATCCTAGAGAAAAAATTATAAGAAGTTAAAAGTTTCGTTATTCAATTTTACACAATATGTCGTTAGCTAGAAATTGAAAATTTAATGTTTATTGTTGAAAAAATAGCAATAATTGGAAAAAAAAAAGTACAAAAAAATTAGGTTAATCCTTTAAATGTTTTCGACTTTTTAAACTTGACTTACAAGCTCCATATTCCGCCCAGAAAAACTTTTTAATATGTTTAAAACGTGTGCTAAATTTTGTTAAGATCGGTTGGATAGGTTTTGCATAATAATTTTTCAATCCAGCCTACTGGAAAAAAATCGCAAATTTTCAAATTTATAGTAGGCCCTAAATAAGACCCTCAGATAGTTGCAATTTTTTTTACGTATAAAGGAAGTCTCAAACTTCCAAACGCTTTTTGTAAAATTCGATGCAAAGTTATAGAAACAGTATAATACATATAAAAATATATTATCTGTAGCATTATTCTTCAGTAAATATGACAATTTCACTTAAAATAACAATTATATTATCAATATTAGTGAACTGTAAAGTACTAATTAGCTGATCCATTGTTTACTTATTATTTACTGGTATTTTTTTGTTCTGTAAGTTTTTATTTATTTATTGATTATAATTTTTTTGATTATAACTTAAATTAAATTATTTAAATATGGATTTATTTTGAAAATGAATGAGTATTATAATTACCAGGTAATTGAGCTACACATTCTTGTATCTTTTTTAAATCAACTAAGACTTTATCTGCATTAGCTTCTTCGGTGATAAACTTGAAAACATTGAAAATTATTTCTCGTGCTTGAGATCCCAAAGGTTTGCCTTTCAATGCACTTGCCATTTTAATAAATATAAATAATAGTTTATAATATAGGGCCACTCCAAATAAAAATGTAAATACTTGACAACACTGTCAGAAATCTAGTGCTAATTACACAATGTAAGCTCCTAGCCGATTGCAATAGAAATGTGAAATCCCTTCCACTTTTCAATTTGTTCTACGTGTCACCCGCCTGTCAGGATATACTAGGCGTCAATTGATGCATAGCTGTCGCCAAGGGCTAGGAATTAAGGAGCTATTTGCAATTTCAGTCTTGCTGGTAATGCTTCATACAAATTTGAGTTTTTCTTTAATTTCCTTAGCAGTTTGTTCTAAAGTTCTATACAATATGCATTAACCATTCTTAGATGATTTCTATAAGTCTCTGGATCTTGCAAAACCATTTCTTGGAACAGACTTTGTGATGCAAAATTGGTATTTTGTCTTAAAATCCTCGGTCAGGTCCACCACCTTCATTTATTTCTCTTTTTGTTTGATTTAGCTATTTCTTCCCGAATTGCATACCTACATTAACAATTATGTATGTGACATTACTTTGTACTATAATTAATTCAATTTGCATCGCCTGTCTTGTAAACCTTTTTGCTTTTCACAGATAAATTTATGGTTGAAACAAACACATGATATGATGACAGTAAAATTCTCCTGTTAGTTATTCCATAGTAAATTATGAGGGAAAAACCAGAAAAACAAAAAAAATTGTGTCGCAAATTCCTCGGCAGAATGTAGTAGGATCTGGTTACCAATATTGAAAGAGGAAGTTATTAATAAGAAAATACCAGTATTAGTAAGTCAGTAACATATAGAGGATACATCATTTATGTTTTTTAAATAACGTAACATATAAAATCAGAATTTTGATGTTTGTTGAAGGTAAACTAAATTCATGAACAAATACTTACAATGTCAGGATAGTATTATGAAGTTTTTTTCCTGGTTTTTCTTTCCATGTGTTTGTCTTTTTAAAGACGAATTACATGCTATGATTTTTTTCTGACGGATATTCTCAAGTTAAAGTTGATTTCATGTAATCGAATGAACTATCTTATAAGTAAAGTCGCCCCAGGAGTGCAACTCAACAATATTGGCAATATCATTTTAAAGTCGTCTACTTTAAAATGCATAATGTATGTCTGAATTGTCAATATAAATGAGTCAGATAAAATTAAATTATTAGAAGAATTTTCACTATGTAACGAAAAACAAAATTTGTTTAATTTACTGTTTGTATTTTGAGAACGATTTCCGAAGTAGAAATTGAAACGTCAATAAACGTATTTTTATCTTTAATTGTGGCTTATTCCCAGTTAAATAGTAATTAATTTACAATGCCACAAGAAAATAGCTTCAAAACAATATTAATTAGCATATATTTACTATTTTAAGTAACCATTTGAATAACATATTCATACATATAAAAGAACAACCTGTAAGAGTCTAAAATATAACCTATTTTTATGTGGGCCTAGACCTTCATTGCTTGTTCTTAGGTTTTATAGGCTGATCTTGTTTCCAGGAACATTGAGTTTAATTGACCGAAACATCCTAAATTAGCTACTTCAAGAAAAGCGAAAAAGTATGTATACCATCCATTCAAATGCATTCCTATTAATCCTTATTAGTCAGTAGTAGTTCAACATAATTATTTTAAAAAATAATACAAACATTTGAAAATAACTTACAAGATCCTCTTTCTTTGTAACACCTACTAACATCAGATAAATAATCAAAAGCTAATTTTGGGATAAAACTAATAGATTCAAAATCCATTACAACTTCCTATATTACTGAAAAAGTGAAAAGCTGAAAATCTAGTATAACCTCACTTTTTTGTTTAGATTTTTAGATGCACTTACATGTCAATGTCATGTTATAATGTAAATGTCTAATGTTACCCATGCAGGTAAAATAAATATTTTTGTTTAAAATAAATTTTTTTGTTTTATTAAGATGTAATGTTCATATTACATATTTCTATCACAGATTTACATATTCTTATAGCTGACATTTAATTTATCTCACCTAAATTTACTTAACATTAAATTAATAGAGCAACATTTAATAAAGTTTTAAATGTCCAGATATTTTCTCTAAAATACTTTTAGGTGCTGGGCCTATGGCAATTACAGTTCTAGTCCCAGGGGCAACTTGGGTTTGTCCAGCATCTCTTACAATACTTGTCAAGACATTAAGTTCTTTTGCTTTTTTACATAATGAAAGTAACTCTTCTTCACTGTCTACACGAACCGCAATTTTTGTGCCACCTAAAAATACAATTAAAATTGATGAAAGTTTTATATATAAATAATTTCGGATTATGATCCAGTGAATTAAAATTTAACAAAGCTTATCAAAGCTCTATAATTGTAGGAATTTACCGTATTTTAACCAGAGTGGTAAAATTTTAGGCCGCTCTTTTTGAGTTTTTGCATATGCCGCTACAGCTGCATGACCACATTGGGCTGCTACTTTTCCTTTTTGCATTTTCAAGTCATTTCTAACACCCAATATCAGCCGATATTCATCTTTTGCATCTTCAAACTGAAATTACACATATTTCAGTCATTGATATAAAAAAAATACGAATTTAATTTCATTTAAACATTGCACAATACTTCATAATTTGTAAATTATAAATTTCCTAACCTCATATCGTTCCTCCATTCCATTTTTCCAAGCTTCTTCCTTAGGTTTGTTCTTACATTTTAGAATAAAATAGGCATACGTTGCTCCGATTCCCACGAAGGTACCAGTGGTGAAAATTGTCAGTGTATTGCTTGCTATAATTCCCATTTTTATTTATTTTTATCACACACCAACCTAACTTTTTAAAACTGATGGCGATGGCTAATATTCCATATTCCATTCACATTGCAGATATTTCATCTTATTCGCACAATGAACGCGACATGGAGCATATTTAGCCACTGACAAAATATGCTTCTCCCAGTTTGTGTTTTCATCATCGAGCAATTAATTGCCTTGATTGTCTTTTTGCTCGATGGTTTTCATTAACGCTGCTTAAAATATTGAATTTTCGTGTACGTTGATACGGACATTTCTACCTCCACAGAAATTTTCGTTGAGCGACTAAGCTTTATAATTATTTGTGCTCTTGGAATCACAAACCACTAATAAGGGAGGTGATTTGTGCTTGGAGTTTGGAGTGTGCTAGAGTTTGAGTCAAGTGTCTCGTCTCTTAATTCTCATCTCAGATTTAAAGCAAATTTATAGCAAAGTCATATATCATTTATCTACATGTTTAAAACGTTCAAAAAATCTCTGATGGAACATAGAGACTAAACTGTGATATAGAGCTGTGGTGAAGTTTATGTCAGAAGTTTTTATTATCATTTAAAAGAAGCAGAATTAAACGTCATATTTAAAACCAAAATATATGTGATATGTGATATACTTTTCAAATATTTTGCTTGCGCATTTATATAATTATTTAAAGTTAGTCAAGTTATATTTGTGTGAAAAATGATAAAATGTACTTAATTATTTTGAAAAATACTTTAAAATGTCCACGTTTTTACCACAGTCTACGTTTCAATTCCACTCTAGAAATACACAATCAAAGTAAGAGAATATTGCATTATTTTTATAGAGAATATAATTACTTCACTACATTAGTATTAATTATTATTGTGTGTGTGTTTTATTGGCACTGGTTTTGACAACCAACTGGCCAGTCAATTATTAATTATTATTAGATGTGCTGATACAGCTTAATGCTAAAATTTTAGCAGTATACTGTGGTTCTGATATAAAAATTATTTACTTTGTATTTAAAGCTTATATCAACAAATGCAACTGAATTCCAGATCACCAAGAATACCTAATGTTTAAGCTAGACAAACAATGTTTCATATACTCTGAAGAATTGCAATTTATCAAGCTCTAGAATGAGCTATTAACAAAAAAATTTCTGTTAAAAAATTATGTTAGATTCAAGGTCTGCATTATTAGCTTAGAAAACTCACCTAAACATTTATATACAAAAGGCCTTGTCACTAAAATTTTACAAAGCCAACTAAAGCTACGGAAACAACATCATCACTAATTAATAGTCTAGGTATCTGGTTGCCTGATCTAGTACAATACATATACTTGTTTTCTGTGCATTTATTTTTAATCCCATTCTCAGTGTAGATGCCCATAATGATTGAAATGCTTCAATCAAAGATTCTGTGGACCTAGCAATAATGTCTATGTCATCTGCATATCTGACCACTTGTATATATTTATTAAAGATGGTGCTATTCATATTAATATGGCACACTCGAATTACTTTTTCTAGTGTAAGAAGAGACACGACAGTCCATCTTCCTGTCTCAGTCCATTTTTACAATGGAATGGTCTTGAAAAGTTATTTTGGATTCTGACTACACTCTCTATGCCTGTGAGTGTAAGTTCCGTTAGTTGATCAAGATGAAGCTGCATTTGAAATTCCACCATAGCCTGTAGAAGTTTTTGTCTGTTGACTGAGTTGTATGTGGCTTTGAGATCCACGAATATGTGGTGGGTATCGACTCCTAACTCAAGCGTTTTCTCAAGAATCTGCCTGACTGTGAAGATTTGATCCATTGTTGATTTATTGGGTTGGAAACTGCACTGGTAGTTCCCAACTATTTGTTTAGCATAGGGGATCAATCTTCTGTATAATATGTTGTACAATACTTTATATGCCATGTTAAGTAGAGTGATGACTATAATTATCACACACCATCATATCTCCCTTTTTGTGAAGAGGGTGCATTACACTTAATTTCCAGTCTGCAGGCGTTTCCTTCCGTTGCCAGATTTTAGTTACTAATTTATGCATGTGTTTAAAGAGGGTGTCACCACCATTTCTAAAGAGTTTGGCAGGAAGATTTTCCAAACCAGGGGCTTTGTTATTTTTCAGTTTTGAAATGGCTTCTCTAATTTCTTCTTCGGTGGAGGGCTGCTCTTAAGCGTTTTCATCCATTTCAGGCAAAGTAATTTCTATTTGGTCTTCTTCACAACTGTCGCTAAGCAGTTATTCAAAATGATTTGCCCACCTGTTTAGTATCTGTTCTTTGTCACTAATTATGCAACCATCTCTGTCTTTACATGCTGTTATTCTGGGATTGAATTCTTTTCTGCAGCTGTTTATCTTCTGGTAAATGAAGGTTTTTATATATATATATATATATATATATATATATATATATATAATATATATATTTAAAAAATGAAACAACAAAGAAAAAACAATAATATAAATAGCATACATACACACAAAGAGAGCCTAAACCTTTTAGGTGTTGAACTGATTTTATGTCTTATCGCTGTGAAAAAAAATTAATATTTTAATATTTAACATTAGTATTTAACATAAGCATTTAATATTATTTGTTTAATTTTTTATTTATAAATTAATTTAGGTTGGTTAGGGCCCTTTATGAAGAGTATGCCTACTGATCAATTTAATGTTTCCACTTCCTTTTTTGTAATTTTTTTGTTTTTTATTTATTAGTGCCTATGTGTATGCATAAGTGTATATATGTGCGTGTATGTACATAATATTCTTATACTCAATATTCTAGCAAATACATCAAGCAATCCAAAGCAATTTAAAAAAAAATTGCATTGTTGTTTGTTTGAATTCATTGTTATTGTCGACATTGTTTTTACACTGTTGAAAATAATCTCTTAAAATTTGAGTAGCTATTTGAGTCCTATTTAAAAAAAAATACTTTATTGTTTCTTCATTCTAATGTACCTACTTCATTGTGAATATGTCTGCCCATATAAGTTTTTATAAGTTTTGGAATTTTCTATTGTGTTTTATATCCTTTTTTCTTTTTCAATAATTTTATGAATTCAATTACAGTTCTAGATCGAATCCCACCATATTTCAGTTTGTGTAAAGAGTTTTTAGATGAAAATGAACTAGCCATTAGCTTAGTAAAAAGTATGACTGTATATAATGATTTTATCAGCGGACAAGAAGAAAAATCAGTGTTGGATGAAATTGAACCATATCTAAAAAGGATGAGATATGAATTTGACCATTGGGATGATGTAAGTAACTTTAACTGTAGAATTTATTCTGTTTACTCATTGTAACAATTAACAAATCCATTATTATTCGAAAATATCATATTTATTTTAAAATTACAGGCCATTCATGGGTATAGAGAAACAGAGAGGTTACATTGGAATAAAGCAAATAATGAAATAATAGATAGAGTGAGAAATATTGCTTTTCCACCAGCTACAGCTCAACTTAAGTATGTACATATTTTAGATTTAGAGAAAAAGGGATATATCAAGCCACACATAGATGCAGTAAGGGTAAGTTATATAAAAATACAGAGAGATTGAGAGAGAGAGAGAGAGAGAAGAGAGAGAGAGAGAGAGAGAGAGAGAGAGAGAGAGAGAGAGAGAGAGAGAGAGAGAGAGAGAGAGAGAGAGAGAAGAGAGAGAGAGAGAGAGAGAGAGAGAGAGAGAGAGAGAGAGAGAGAGAGAGCGAGAGCGAGAGCGAGAGCGAGAGCGAGAGCGAGAGCGAGAGCGAGAGCGAGAGCGAGAGCGAGAGCGGAGAGCGAGGAGAGCGAGAGCGAGAGCGAGAGCGAGAGCGAGAGCGAGAGCGAGAGCGAGAGCGAGAGCGAGAGCGAGAGCGAGAGCGAGAGCGAGAGCGAGAGCGAGAGCGAGAGAGAGAGAGAGAGAGAGAGAGAGAGAGACCGGCGAAGTTCCATTTAAGTTTTGCAACCTGTCTTGATACATCGTTCAACCTTTGTTTTTTCTCTGATCCATGAGTTTTTTTCCTGTCTTTAAGACCGATACCCAGCATCTGTCTTTCCATTGCTCTTTGTGTTTTGGATATCCTGTCGATGTTCTCCTTTGTGAAAGTCTATGTTTGTGAGCCATATGTGATAACTGGTAAAATGCAGTGGATGAATACGTTCGTTCGCAAATATTGAGGGAACTTTTTATTTTTTAGAATATATGATAGTTTACCACATGAGGCCCATGCTAGTCTAGTTCTTCTTTTTATTTCTTCTGTTTAATTGTCCCGGTTCATCTTTATAATCTGTCCTAGGTATATGTATTCTGCCACCTGCTCTAATTTATTCTGTTTGACTACTATTTCTAATTGGTCTTCTTGATTTGTCATAGTCTTGGTTTTACTATAGTTCATCTCTAGCCCTACCTCTGTCGCTTTTCTATCTAGTTCCTCAACCATCTTCTGTAACACTTCTTATCTGTTATTAGGACTATATCGTCTGCATATCTCAAGTGGTTCAAGAGCTCTCCATTTATTCTTATTCCGTATGTATCCCATTCTAATTTTTTAAATATGTCTTCCATAGCCTGATTGAACAATTTTATCGATATTCTGTCTCCCTGCCTGATTCCTCTTTCGAATTTTATTGGTTCTGTAGCGTGTTCGTTCGTCAATTATATTGTGGTACTCGCATTTTGTATATGTTTGTTATTAGGTCCGTGTACCTGTAATCAATTCTGCCGTTCTGTAGTGAGTTTTTGATGGCCCAATGTTCTATGCTGTCAAACGCCTTTCGGAAGTCTATGAATGCCATGTATAATGGGATTTGATACTCGTTCGACTTTTAAATCAGTATTTTTACTGTTAGCAGATGGTCGCTAGTACTAAAACCCTTTCTGAATCCCCCTTGTTCTCTTGCTTGGTATTCGTCAAGCTTAGTTGTTAGTCTATTTGTCCTGATCTTCGTTAGTAGTTTAAATACAACACTTAGTAATGTTATAGGTCTGTAGTTTTCTAAGTTCTTTCGGTCACCTTTTTTGAACATTAATAGTGTCTCCGCATCGTTCCAGCTATCTATCGGGTATTTCTTTTGTGGTAAATATTTGGATTTGGAGTGTTTGGATGACTATCTCTTGTAAAATAATTGAAGCTTTGTTGGATCAGTTGATATTTATTGAGACTGTCTTTCCCTGACATCAAGCCAATTGTGATCTGGTATAGAGAAAAGTGATTGTCCTATCAAAAATTCCGCGGCTGTAACATGACTAGGATCGTTAGGATCATCTGGTAGGGGAAAAATTGGTCGGGAATTTAAACAAGTCTCTATTTGAGTTAATAGGGTTGAGAACCCTTCGTAGGTCAAAATCCTTTCTCTGAAGCTATGGCCCATAAGAAGTTGTAAATATTGGTTTTTTTATGTGTTTGAAGAATAAATAAGGACTTTTGGTAATAACATATTTCTATAAATGTTCATATTTTAAGGTTGTGTTATGGTTTTATTCAAACTTTAAATATTTTTTACTATATTTCAAGGTATTTTGTTATTTTATCCAGTTTATTTCAAAATTAATCAATAAATAGGTAAAGAAATAATAAATAAGACTTACTCACAATCAATTTAATTTAACTATCCGACGACCGGTTTCGCTTTCTACAATATGCAAAGCATCTTCAGGTCTCGGTACAAAGTTAAACAAATGATGCCGGTACTCTATTAATAGAGTATGCCGGTACTCTCAATTTAATTTAACTATCCGACGACCGGTTTCGCTTTCTACAATATGCAAAGCATCTTCAGGTCTCGGTACAAAGTTAAACAAATGATGCCGGTACTCTATTAATAGAGTATTTAATTGTGACATTTTATACTTGTTTCTTAAAACATACAACAAGACATACTTCCCACAAGAGCTTGGCGCCAACTGGCCAATATATTTTTAAATGTTGTGATTACAGATTACAGTTTTCGTTTGTCTATTAGCATATTCTTCATAGGCGTAGATAAAGGTTCTTATACATTAGTGAAATACTTTTGTTCAACAATCACAGTTGAACAAAGTTCAAAAGTTGAACAATCACAAACAATTGGGACAGTGTCGAAAATAGGAGCATTTACCTTATATGCTAACCTCAAGGAGAAATTGTAACATAGATAATATAAAGATTGAACAATTTATCTTCCAAAAGCACAGCTAAAACGACGGGAACGCAGAGATAACTGAAAAAGTTAAAGCGGTCAATAGAGCATATTGGAAATACCAAAAACTACTAAAGGATAGACATGTCAGGAAAAACACACACTGTCATAACCTGAGCTGCAGAGACAATGTGCCTGACTAATAGTGACGAAGAGAAGCTAAGCATATTAGCAAGAAAGATCCTTGAAAGAATTTTTGAACTGAAAAATTTAACGCGGAGAGCCTAGACGATTATTTATCAACACAAAGAGATAAATAATCATATACATGGAGTAGACATATAAAGGCTGAAAGGTTGAAATGGTGGGCATGTACTAATTAACCTTTCAATCACTTAACAAATGATTACAACTGAATTATTGAACTGAACTATTGCTACCCAATTTGAAGAAAATCAAGGCTGTCCTCATATTCTCGAAATTTTAGCCAATCGAATTCATTTAGATATGGATAAATGTCCAAATATAGCCGAACCCACCATTCTAATATATTAATATAATATACAAAATATAAGGTTAACTGGAGGTCAATGAAGGTAGAAAATAATTGATCCTTAAATCACACAATGACGGTATTAGATTTTGATACGATACAGAGCAGCTACAAGCCGCATATACGTATTTCGACCTCTTTAGGTCTCCTCAGTGCGGTATAGCAACTACTCCGTATCGAACCAAAATATTTTTCCGCCGTAGACCATAGTTATTAAAAATAACTATGTACAAACGTAACTACGCCATCTAAGAACAAAAAGAGAAATCATGCGATTTCTACCTGGCGAAATCGAATTCAAATAGAAGCCACCATGCTTCCTAAAACTTGCGAAGCAAACAGCTTGATGAGTAAATCGGCAAGGGAATCTAAGATTGCACTCCAAATGCCGTTCATCATGGCCAATATTCGTAGTGAATTCGATTTCGAATTTTGGAGTGCAATCTTAGATTCCCTTGCCGATTTACTCATCAAGCTGTTTGCTTCGCAAGTTTTAGGAAGCACGGTGGCTTATATTTGAATTCGATTTCGCCAGGTAGAAATCGTATGATTTCTCTTTTTGTTCTTAGATGGCGTAGTTACGTCTGTATATAGGTATTTTTAATAACTATGGTCTACGACGGGAAAATATTTTGGTTCGATACGGAGTAGTTTGCTATACCGTACTGAGGAGACCTAAAGAGGTCGAAATACGTATATGCGGCTTGTAGCTGCTCTGTATCGAATCAAAATCTAATACCGTCATTGTGTTTTATTTCTTTACTTCGTTTGGAGTACCAGAAATCGAATTCACTACGAATATTGGCCATGATGAACGGCATTTGGAGTGCAATCTTAGATTACCTTGCCGATTTATTCATCAAGCTGTTTGTTTCGCAAGTTTTAGGAAGCACGGTGGCTTATATTTGAATTCGATTTCCCCAGGTAGAAATCGTATGATTTCTCTTTTTGATCCTTAAATGATTGGCTGTACAGAAAATCGAGTCATGCCGATTCAGTACACAAGTTTACCTATTATTTACAAGGTCATAGCTCTTGTCAAAATCCATTACCTTTACATAACTTATCATCTTCAAGCCTACAAGAATTCTGTCATTAATTTTATCATTAATCGGGTTAAAATATTTCTGTTTTTGTATCCAACAATCTCAAATCTGAACTTTCCTATCTTCAAGAGTCTTTTATTTCGAACAGTTACTCTTTACACAAAAGTTGATTAACTGAATTCTCTAAATCGAGTCTAGTAGTAACAATCATTTACATTTGACCAATGTTTAGTGGGCGCTCTACTCGACTAAAAATATGGTGGAGAAGGATTACTCGACCCGAAGATAGAATAGAAAACCCGAGTTTTATTTGCAAGCTTTGCCAGTTTTAAGATGAGCGAAAGTATCATTATTTGAAGTTTAACCTAAGCAGAAGTCCTACGGCGCTCAGTACTTAAAAATTTCTGTCCCTGAGATACATTTAAGAGGCAGTAGATGTTAAATATGTATTCTATGATGGCGCGGATGTCGATTTTATAAGCGTTTATGAGTGTTCGTTTTCACATTTATCAATCTTTCCCACAAGAGGAAAACCCGACACGGTCCAAAACCCGAAAGACAAATAATTATTAATAATAGTTTCGCTTTATGCCGAAAGTGCGGCTTTCAGCTTTTCAGGGAGGGTAGTCTGCTAATTCTTTGACCTACGGTAAAAAGAAGGTTACAGGGCCAGCGCTACGCTTGAACCAGCTATTATTACCCCTAGTTTTACTTAACACATTTCGTGCCAGGAATATGTTAAAGTCCGTGCCTCTACGGACCAATGTTATTTTACTGTAGTTTTTTGTATATAAAGCCTTGCCGTTTGATTATTTCGTCAAAATTATTGTTTAT